ATGGGCACTTAGGTTGTTTCCAACTCCTTGCTATTGTGAACAAAGCCGTGATAAACATGGGTGTGCATATATCTGCTTGGATGTCAGTTATGGTCTCTTGGGGGTATATTCCCAGTAGTGGAATTGCTGGGTGAAACTATCTGTTTAACTCTAAATGTAACATCATTCTTCCTTAGTTTTTCATTCCCAACATAGTAGATCATATGATTGCCTGATTCAGAGTGACCCATGCCACTCCATCTTAGTTCACTAATGCCTAGAATGTTGACATATATCCCATTTCAGTTTTGACAACTTTCAGCTTTTGTACAGTCCACATTCCATTTATTACAGGATGCTTGCAGCTGTTTGTCTTTATTTTGAGTGACTTGCAATCTGGCTCTGCCTCTAATCCTGTATGCCTCTTTCAGAAGTGGATGGCCAGGCCTGCTTCCTAGTTCATCTTAATCGGGGAACCATGCTGAAACCTGGGTGGCCTTTCTGTCATTTGAAACACTGGTGGCACAGCTTCCAGCATCACAGCAACCCACAAGTTATCCCCAGTACAGCAAACTGACAGACAAGTGCTGGGCTAGTAGGAGCAAACAATAAACAAGCAAACATATATACACCTAAGCAACATGAAAATCATTCCCCCAATACAACAGACTAATAGTTAAAGTATTACATCTTTAACAGCAAGTGCAATCAGTCATACAAATACTACGGCACAGGACAACCTTCTCTGGCCCCAGCTGAGGCCTGTGGGAGGTATGGCAGGACAGGGTCCTGGATGGTGAATTATGGTATGGATGGTGGCTCAGCTGGACCATTGGTTCTGGTGCTTGGTACAAGGATTGTCATAAGAATGACAGAAGACGACTTGATGCCTTTGAGTTGTAGTGTTGGAGAAGAGTATTGAATATCCCATGGGCTGCCAAAAGAACAAACATATCTTGGAGACAGTGCAGCCAGAGTGCCCATTGGAGACATGGCTGGTGAAGCTTCATCTCATATTCTTTGGGCTGCTGGTTAGGAAAGGCTATTCCTTGGAAAGAGACATTGTGCTTGGAAAGGTGGAGGGTCAGCGAGAGAGGAAGGTCGTCAATGGGAGATGGATTGACATAGCGCAGCAGTGGGGTCAAGTGTGTCAGAGATGAGGATGGTGCAGGATAGGACAGGGTTCAGATCTGTTGTTCAAAGGGTTGCTGTGAGGCATAGTTGGGTAACAGCACCTAACAGCCACCACCCCCCAAGCCCTCTTCCTAACAGAAAGCTTGGTACCTTAAAGATGAAGGAACCTACTGTGCCAGCTGAATCAGAGCGGATGAGGGGACCTGCTTAATCTAAAGGAGAGTTTCGAGTATGGTGGAATCCAACCAGTAATCCCTTCTGTACCAGATGTTCCTTCCACTAGGGGTTCGGGGCCTCTGAGCCTGGTAATAGGGCGCTTCCTGCCATGACTGGGGGAACTGGCCAAATCCTCATATTCTGCAGGTGGTATATTCTTGTACCTATGCCGGTGATGCAGTGATGAGTTATCTTCCTTTTATTTGTTGGTTACCTTGAGGAGATTCGAAGTTCCCTTTGATAAATTCATAAACTCCTTTATACATTCATGAATTTATTAAGTAAAAAAAAGGGCTCTGGTCGCACAGTGGTTAGCACTTGACCACTAACTGAAAGAGCCTGCCAACTGCTCCACTGGAGAAAATTGTGGCATTCTGTTTCCTTAAGACTATGTGTAGTTTGGGAAACCCTATGGGCAGTTCCGCTCTGTTCTAGAGGGTTGCTGAGAGTTGGAACTGACTCCTAAGAAAGAGTAGGGTTGGTTTGGGAATCATTAAAAATAGCTTGAGCATTCACATTAAATCTAAATGGACTCTGAGTGGTGGAACAGTGTGATGGCTAATAACACAGCCTAGCCAGCCTGGCTGCGCTTAGAGTTAGGTCTCTACACTTACAGCTTAGTTACTTGAGGCCACTTTAACTCTGTGCTTCATTTTTCTCACTGGTATAAAATGGGGATATACTAATGGCACCTACTTGAAAAAGTTGACGAGGTTAAAATTGGAGAAAAAGAAGCATTCACTAAATAGTCGCCAAGGGTTCTGATGGTATAGTATGTTATGAGTTGGACTGCAAACAAAAAGGTCTGATGTTTGAATTGAATCTACCTGTTACCCTGGAGGAGAGGCAGTCTCTTTCCACAAAGATTTACAGCCTCAGAAACTTGAAGAAGGGTTGCCATGGATGGGTTGCATCAGGGGATTGGCTTGATGGCAGTGGGCATGGCTTTTGGTGTTGTTAGGTATTAGTGACTTTCTATCATCATGTGTGTGCGTGCGCGCATGTGCGTGCATTTGCCCTGGGGGGATTTGAGGTGGTCGACTTCACCAGGCTTATCTGAAGACCTACATAATCACACAAAGAAATATGAACTGCAAAGCATAATAGCTCAAAGGCATCAATTCTGTCATCCCTAGTCATTGTCCAGCTTTTTTATGCATAGCAAGTAATTGCAAAGACCATGGCATGGATCAGGCGCACCTTAGTCTCCAGACTGACATAATTTCTCTTCAGTACTTTGGAGAGGTCTGTGACAGCAGATTTTTCCAATGTAAATAGTTGTTTCATTTCCTGAATGCTGGTACCAAGAGTATTGATTGTGGAGCCAAGCAAACTGAAGCTGTTAACAATCTCAATCTCTTCTATCATCTATCATGATGCTGCCAGTGGGCAGAATCTTTGTTTTCTTGATGTTGAGCTTCAATCCATACTGAAGGCTGCAGCCCTTGACCTTCTGCAACAAGCGCTTCAGGTCCTCCTCAGTTTCAGCAAGCAGGGTTGTGTCATCTGCATGGTGCAGATTGTTGATGAGTCTATCTCCAGTCCTTATGCCACGCTTCTCCTTAAAGAGCCCAGCCTCTTGCTGTGCATCAGAAAGCTGGACAGTGACTAGGGATGATAGAAGGAGAAATTGATGCCTTTGAGCTGTGGTGCTGGAGAAGAGTATTCAATATACCATGGATTGCTTGGAGAAAAAAACAGGTTCATCCTAGAGAGGGTGAGACCAGGCCGCTCCTTGGAGGCAAGGATTCTGAAGCTTCGTCTGTCATACTTTGTACTTGTTACAAGGTGGGACCAGTCCTTGCAGAGGGACAGTGCATGAATTGATTCAGTAACTGGGATAATAGGGGTAGGTGTGTCAGAGACAATGAGATTGGTACAGGATAGAGCAGGGTTTAGAGGTGTTGTCCATAGGGTCGCTTTGAGTTGCAGGTGACTTAACAGCGCATATCAACAACAAAGCATAAGAAGTGCCTATGCTACAGGGTTGGACTTTTTTCAGTGGAATTTGAGGTAGCTTCTCTGAGAAAGAGTCGCATCTAATGTGTTCCAGAGAATGAATAGATGTGTGATAGAAGTTAAAGAGATGGTTACCTGGGGAAAGTAGTGGAGTAAGCGCTGATAAGAAAAAGCACAACAGGGAACCTTATTGGGTACAGGATCTGTTCCAGGTCTGAGTGGGAGTTACACAGTGTTTATTAAAAAATTATTGAGTTGTACACTTTAGTGCACTTTATGTACTTTAGACCTTAATGAAAAATAAATGAGTAAGCATTAGCTCTGTGAGAGGAGGGAAGATGTTCCAGGCTGAGGGATGGGCATGAGGAGAAACCTTGTGGCTGGAAGGAATGGGATATGTACCAGGAACTGAATGGAAAGCCAGTGTGGTTGGAACAGGGAGAACAGGAGGGACATGAAGTA